AGTGGCATCTGTGCGCAGTGCAGCGACTTGTTCTCTCAACTATGTGACCTGGGTCCTTAGCTCATTCACCACAGGGTCTGTCTGCAGGATGTTTGCGCTCGGCTGTGAGGTCCTACTGTCCTCGGCTGCCCGCCAACACGACTTGAGCCTAGTCGCTTTGGACAGCACTTCCTCGTACGCCTTGACCGTGCTCGTCTCCTCCTTGATGAATCCAAACACCTGTAGTTCCTCCTTTAGACGTTGGTCCCGCACACTGCGCACAAACTTTGATAGTACTCTCTCCCGCCGAGCCTCGTCAGAGAGGTTCGGGAATGCAGTGCCAGCTAGCTGTTGTAGACGACTGGGGAAAGCTGGAGTCGTTTCTCTCCCTTCCTGGAACGATTCTTCGAAATTGTTAATGTAGGCCACCCTGGCCTTAGTGTGGCCATACCGTGACTCCAGCAGCTTCATGACTTCCTCATCATCCTTAAGGGCATCTTTGTTCTCGTCCTGGCTCAGCCACAATAGCGGTTCCCCCCGGAGCTGTTGCATAATCATTCGAGCCCGGAACTCCTTATCCTCAGCCCATAGTTTGGCCTCTCCTGACACGTCCTTCAGCTTGTCGTTGAGAGCCTTTGTATTCCCGTATGCAGCGACGAACACTCTCCACTCACTCAGTGTTGTGGATGCTCCAAACTCGTGCTTGAACTTCGCTGCCATCCTCTTCCTTGCGTTGAATCTAGCCTCTGCCACCAGTGAGACGGTTGTATTGTCCAGGATAACTCTGCCTTCATCAACAATCAGAAGCCCTCTAAATACCAGTACAGCAATACAGGTGCTAATGCACAATAGTGTCAGGTATGGATATGATTGTGTCAAGTGTCACATAGGAGGTGTGTATAGCACACCGCTCACAGGACGATCGTTAAATTTGCGACTCATTACAATAATATGTCTCGCAGTTGCTGATGTCAACAAACACCGTAAGGCTATGATCACTCTGCACTCTGCACATCGAGAGGTTTGTTATAGGCAATTCACACGACAGGCACTTGCACGCGTTACAGCAAGTGATTCACCTGAAAAGTGACTGTGTGGATTCACACGGCTGCACTCAACGACAGGCCCGTTTGCATTTTTGAATGATTCACCAACCAGTTACCATGAGTATTTCAAATTTTCAAAACACGCAAACAATAATTATCATGTTGAAAAGAGCCGCGTAAAATCAAGTCTTGTTTCGCGCTTTTTGGTGTAAATGTACTCGTGCACGCCACGATTATCATTAAAGTGGGCCCCCAGCTAGCTTGCAATTTTCAGCCACTCATTCACAGGGAAAATACCATAGCAACGTTCCGGTGCACGTGGATTTGCCTGTCGTGTGAATCGCCTATAATGGCCTATTCACACGACAGGCACTTGCACGTTTTACAGGGAGTGATTCACAAGAAAAGTGACTGTGTGGATTCACACGGATGCACTCAACAACAGGCGCGTTTGCATTTTTGAATGAATCACCCAACAGTTGCCATGAGTATTTCAAATTTTCAAAACACGCATACAATAAGTATCATGTTCTAAAGAGCCGCGTGAAAAATCAAGTCTTGTTTCGCGCTTTTTGGTGTAAATGCACTCGTGCAAGCCAGGATTATCGTGAAAGTGGGCCCCCAGCTAGGCCTTGACAGATTATGCTAGCATAACTTTTCGCATAATTCCGACCAAAATCGAATAATCGGATAATTCGAGGCAAATTGCACACGAATGGCCTAAAATTGGAACAATCCGCCTTTTCGCATCAAATTCCATATAGTTGTACATGTTCTACAAGTACAAGTACAAGTAGATGAGCTATTGTTTGGCAGCTATGTGAAGCAGTTGACTCGAGATGTACCTTGAAGTCGTAGGTTTACGACTCCCTTGAGAACATGTCCAGTCCACTACAATCAGTGACGGTCGTAGCTAGGTCGGACGGTGCGTTGACCCTGTTGAATTCTTGCTACTACAGTGCAACGCCCTCTACATAAATACCCCTGTTATTTTGTACAGAACCAATATACATCAGCAGCACATGTGAGCATAATGCGGCATAACATAATGATAACTTTTAGCATAAAAAAAGCATAATTCTGCAATTTTTTCAGCAATGCGAAACCATAAATTCACGAAAATATTAGCACAATCTGTCAAGGCCTACCCCCAGCTCGCTTGCACTTTTCAGCCACTTCCAGCCACTTTTCTCATTCACAGGTGAAAAACCCTAGCAACTTTCCGGTGCCCGTGGATTTGCCTGTCCTGTGAATACCCTATAAGGCAGCTGGACTTATAGGTAAGGGGGGGGGGGGAGGAGATCGAGTGTGCCAACATCTCATACTCTTGAAAATACTTAGCGGACTGTCGGTTGCTAGGTTCTAGAAAGATCGAACAGCCGGTGCACATGGAGCCGCCTCATGTCAACCAAATGGTACTCCAGAAACAGAGCACATTTATGTGAAAAAGTGCACCAAACTTGGTTGCATTCTTCAACAATGTATACTTGTCACTATGGTCAGGTCGTACAGTACATTGAGTACAGCACTCCAAGTGCAATGCAAAGGTGTATGCAGGCGTGATCATCTGGAATCAAAAAAGATGTTCCCGCTCGGTTTCACTTTGTAACAGTAAAACTGCTCGGTCTGCGAGCAGAACCTGTTTCACTGAGCTTGTCCTGATTTCGGTTTTTTGATACGGATAGCCTGGTGAATTTACTTGCCAGCGGATGTACGCAGCGTACACAGTCACACAAAAACACTGAAATCCTAAAACAGGACGTCTAAAATCATGCAAACTTGGCTGATTTGAGGGCTGCGAAACACGCAAATGTGAGCTTTACGCAAGTCGCGTGACGTAGTGCTCGAACTGCGCTGTTTCAGATCTGATATGCACAGTTGCACACTCTGGTTTTCATGTGCTCTTGGTACTATGTACAGGGCAGTTCAAATCGTACGGGATTCGGTGTACACTAGATTGTTCACTTTGCCAGCGAACCACGATACAATCGGAAGCACACGGTTGACAGGGTGTGTGCGCAAAACAAAACGGATTGTAAATCAGTGGTTGCTGATTGCAAACCACAACAGTACGAGTCGTACCAACCAAATGCACCCGTAATCCTTTTACCGCTAATGACGTATATATACGTCATGGTGTCGATAACCATCTGTAGGTGTGATCTTTAGTGTGTGGTCGTTCCTGGCCAGTTGGTATCGTCACTGCGTCATGCGCGAGAGGTAGCGGGTTCGAATCCAGCTTCATTACATGATGCGTCTTGTTTTTCCTTCTTTTTCACGCGATGTTTTGGCTCAAATTTCCGACTTTGCTGTATTTTATGCAATTTGGGTGAACTTGCGAGTCATAATATTATGACACCTTGCTTCTTCTTTTGGGTACTATATAGGGGTGAAACGATTAGTTCGAATATTCGAGTATTCGTTCGAAAATTTCAAACGAGCGAGTATTCGAAATTTTGCACTCGATCGTTTTTTAGTATTGGCATTGTATTTTCCAAAAACTTTTGTTGTACGGCTGGTCCACTGGTATGCATGCGTTATGCATGGCTTTGAGTCAGTATTTTTTAGTGTTGAAACGAATAATCGAATAATTTAGAATATTCGTGGGGTGAACGAATAATCGAATAGTCGTAGGAATTATCAGAAATCGAGAAAAAAAAACGATCTATGCTCAGTGCTGACTCTACTTTTGGATATTTGCACTGCGTAGATCTGCTCGTAGTATTTCTTCTCAATCACTTCTCCTCCAAGGTTTAATCTCCTATCGGTATCTAGTAATACATGTACTTCTGTTCTTTCCATATGAGGGAAACATGGATGCCGTGAATGTGATTTTCGGTCTTTGACCACTTTCGACCAAGACCCTATGCAGAGCTGGATCAGGCGTTGCACACTCTGGGGGGTTATGTACTCTTGGCGGTACAGGTTAACCGGTTTTGCTCCTCCACATAACAAAATCCGATAATCAGCAAAAATATATTTAAAAAACTACTTAAAAAGTGCTGAAAAAGTGTTGAAAAATGCCATCATGCGTATGATAGAATATAGATTATTCGTTCGATGGAGGGCAAAATTATTCGATAGATTATTCATTCGAAGAATGCGTGTTCGGTTTAAACACTAGACTATTTTTAAGACTTGGACGATGCAATCACCACGGCAAGTAACGTTCTGAGGTATGAAAGTACTGATGAAAATCGTTACTTTACACTTTGTTCAAGACGTTGGCGACTTTTGTTCGATGTTCACAGATAATTTCTTCCGGATTGGGCGAGAACTCGCAAATCTAGTGCTTTTGAATTTTGATAAAATACTCGAAATAATCGGATACTCGATCGAATATTATGAACGAGTGACCGGTTGGTCAAAATAGATACTCGTTTCACCCCTAGTACTATATCAAGTTACTCAACGTTCTGGCAGTACAGTAAAACCTGGTTCAAGCGACCACCCCACGGTGCAAGCAAAACAGGTTGTTAAAGCCAGGTGGTCTTTAGAACCGGGTCCTACAGTGTCTGTGTAGAACTGCCCGTGCATAGAAAAACGGTCGTTAAGAGCAGGTGGTCGCTAAACAAAGAGGTCGCTTACAGCAGGTTTTACTGTAGGCTTGGCCGCTCCATTTCCCGAAAGTTCAAAAGCCCAGTTGCCAGGGCCATAAAGTTGTGGAACTGGCCATTTGCCTTATTTTTAGCATTTTGCCCAGTGGCTGAATGGCATACCCCTATAGCGGTAAAAGGATTAACAAGTAAAAAACAAACCCAACTTGTTTTAAAAGAATTCAGATGGTGAGCCCAGGAATTTTTTTGAACAATTTTGTGCTAGATTGTGCACGCCTGACTGTTCAAAATCTGGTTTAGTTGTTGGACTCGATCGCATAACTTATGCCCGCAATTTCCATGTTACAAACTCAACTTGTTGTAGCACAAGTAGCGGGGGTATGCAAGGAGGCAAGAAACACAAACAAAGCTCTCTTACAGGTGCCGCAGAGGAAAGCGGACACAATGTCATGATCCTGCCAGGTTGGGAGGCGAAGTGGGTAGTATAAATAATCAGTTAGTTGGCCTATATATGGGATGCGGTGGGGTAAGCGGAAACGTGAGTGGCCCAGCCCGCTGCCGCAGGACCGGTCGCGGTCTAGTTGACCATCCCTGGTGTACATTTTCCAGACGGTGATGTTGGGGTGCAGTCCCGGAATTGTGCCCGACACTGTCTCCACTAGTTCGATGAGGCAGTGAAACACACAGCCACACACACACACACACACACACACACACACACACACACACACACACACACACACACACACACACACACACACACACACACACACACACACACACACACACACACACATACACACACACACACACACACACACACACACACACACACATGCACGCACGCACACACACACACACAAAGAACGACCAAAAAGAATGCATTGATCACTAATGAACCTGCGCATTGGGCTTGAGTGTGACGAACCTTGCCGTTGGTGGAAAAGCGTGTCCTCACATGGATCAAAAGCCAGGCCAATTTGCTCACTGGGTCAAACGCAAGACAACAGTTTTTTCTTCCCTCACAGAGAGCACACATAAGACAAAGTTTGCCCTAAAAATATTATACTGGATGGGAAGTGAACTCCTCAGGGTCAATCAGAGACATCAAGGTTACCCGGGTGGCGTGGAAAATCTTGGGGCACTGGGAATTTCCGTCCGAACTCCCATCATTCATATGAACACATTAAGGCCTAGTCGCAATACCATTTTTTGCAGAAGAATAGTTCATACTTTTTTCGTCCTCCTCGCCGCTGCTCTTGGTGCTGGTGACAAATACTTTTCCTTGTGATCGACTCTCTCGCCTTCGCAAGCTCATCGCTATTCTTCTCCGCTGTCTGGCTATATTCTAAAGGGAAGTCGATCGTGATGGTCGCCTTCTCTATTGGACTTTGTGTGGGCAGCATGGCTCCTGTGTGGTTCAAATCAGTCCGCGTTTTTGCATGATTTTATTTTGAACGACGACGACGCGTACAGTCTTGCAAATCTCCACGATGCGCTGGATACTCTGGGCTGGAAGTGAGGGAACTGCGATCTCAGCTTGACGAGCGATCCCCAAGGTAAGCAATTTCGGCCGTTTTGCAAAATGGAACTGACTACGAGTAGCCGATTACTTTCTTGCCGCTCTTGCGCAGTGTGACAAGATAATCTATTTTGATGCGGCATGGTATCAATCAGAACCACCCACCCGTCGCTCTCGAAATCCACTCGAAATCTAGTTTGACTTTTCTGGCACTGGTAAACTAACTTACTGGCCAAAATCAGGATGAAATGGGCTGCCAAGTGGGGATTGGCGACATAAAAACAAAGCTAAAAGATGAGGGACAATGTTGATGACGAGGACCAAGTATACTAACAAGCTTACAGGCCAGTGGGAAGGGTGGACACGTGGATTTAGACTGAAATTTCTGTGTGGACTTTGACTTTTATGGCATGGCGTAGTGGGTGAGTCATTAATTTTTGCATCTAAAATAGCTAGGAAAGCAGCAGTGTTTTAAGGCCATGGCTTTAAAGGCGCTGACACACGGTATACCGCGCAGAGAACTCAAGTTTATATTTTCAACCAACTTTAATATCGTACTGTGAGCCCAGAAATCTTTCGCGATCCTGAAACATTCGCGATTTCCGCGATGGGTGTGAAGTCGTGAAGGTAAAGTGGGCGCAAAGAGCGAAACTGTAGACTCGAGTCAATCATCAAATTGACTCTGGTCGCAAACGTTTGCAGGCGCAAAATGGTTTGTCATCGCCATTCGTGAAATAAAAAAGGCGCAAACGATTGCGGGTCTAGAGGACGCGATTTTAGAAGTTTGGTATCAATAATATACTAGAGACTGCTTCCTGCTTTATCCGAGAAAATATAAATTAACACACAAACCGTGCGAAAATGTAGGAACTTTTTTCTGTACTAGGTCGTACAAATCACAAATTGTCTGTGTACTTTAACTTTCGGTAGTTTCGGTGCATCTGTTTCATACCTAAAATTTCAACACACCGAACAGACACCAACACACATAATCCAATAGGGAACTGCTTCTCTGTGACCTGGCCTTTTGCCCTCATAACGAAAATAGCGAGCACCGAAAATTTCTGAAATTACAGTACCCGGTTGGGTGTTCACTGTGTGCTATACATGCTGATCGCTGATTGGGTCAATTCAGCCCCAGTACCAATGGCAGACGATCGCTTTTCTAGCTTCATCACTTTCGACAGAACTAATGGGGAGCTGGATATTTGTCTGAGAGAATAAAACCGCTTCGTATGAAATGCCATTTGGGTTTGTATCATCCTGGAAACGACAGTAAAACCAATCGGGTACAGTGCATTCAAAAACCCAACCAACCCAGTCCACGGGATTTTGTACATCTGTATAACGTGCAGACCGCTTATTGTGTACATGTACATACAAATACAATTCTGCACCGTATTTGGGCATGTCGGACCGTAAATGGGACACTACCCAGTCTGGCGCATCGCCTATTGATGCATCAGCCACGGCGCGTGCCTCTGCGCAGACAGAGCTGACTCACCGGCACAGACGAAGCGCGTGCGCGCAGCCTGACCGCTGGGAAGGCTGGTCACCTGAGGCTCGCCCGGTTTTAGATAAACGCGCGGCGTGAAGGCAGAGTAGCTTGACACTTGCTGGCCGTGCACACGGGCATGCTTGGCCAGGACCAGCTGATGGCGCGGCAGCAGGAGAGCATTGGTGCCGTACTGACGGCCAAACTTGTCAAAGGCGTCGTCCAGGCAGGACTCCCTCTGCGCCTGCTCCACTGTCATCAGGTTCACTGGACGGTACTTTGACGCCTCCTTCTCGCTGACACAGTACGACAGTGGGTCCGCCACGTTCGGCTCGTCATAGTACTGTAGGCGCGGCTGATACACGTAAATGTTCAAGCCGTCCTTCATGACGCACTGATGGATATTACTGACAGCTGCATGAGTGAAAAAAAAACGCCGCATTCGGCAGCCAAACAACAAAAAGAGCGAATATCGTCAATCAGTTGCAGTGAAACCCTCACGCAAATTTCCCGGGACCAACATTACCAGTGCTATAACTCAAGAACCGCTTACTGTATCGCTTTGAAAATTGTTTGAGGCGACAGATGAGAGTTTTTTCTTTGCCCTACAAATTTCGATCTCTCCGAAAGACCGATATTTGACCAAGTTACGAAAATTTAAAAATGCCTACCCCATCGAACATCGGTGTTTGATCAATGTATAGGCCAGCCAATAAAGGGTTAAGAAGAACACCAATAAGACAAACCTTCGCCATAGAAGAACAACTACTGTGAAAGCAGAAAATTTTGCTGGTGTTTTATATTCGGTAACTTCGATGCCGACAATTGTTACCGAAAATAAAACGCACTGAAAACGTTGGTACATCTGGTACAGTATTAAAGGGGAACTGTCACCAAAACATTTTCTTTGTCTTATCTTGTAGTTCCTTGCAACTCGAATGCTCACTGTCTGACACCATCTTTACGACATTATTTCGTCCGCTAATCTCCGCTACTCGTCGTCTCACCTGGCTTCAGAAGATGTTACGAGAGATAGGAGAGTCTCCAGCAGGCAGCGCATCCATCTTCAGGAAGTGGAAAGAGCAAACGGCATGGTCCTTGGTTGAGGTAAATGCTGAACGTTTGATTTGTCCCAACCAAGATTTCAGCACTTGGTTCGTCACGATTTTCGCTTGCCAGTTAACGTCTCCGCACTCCACCTTTCTTTCCCCTGTCGGTGTCACGTCCCAGTACACAACGGAGAGGACTACTAATAAACAGTTCACGGCACTAACAGCATTGAACACAGTACTTCTTTCACTTCGTGAATACAAGAAGATAACTGAAAATGACACAATTCTGCAGTGATCGACCTTCTCTCTCACGGAGCTAAGCAGAATGTGCATCATCACCTGTAGTCGCCATGGAAACGGGATCGGGAAATCGGCGATATGGCAAGTTTCCCTTGCCGTACGCAAGCGAGAGATATACCATCTGAGCCCTACTTGAAAAATCGATGCACTTCCACTTTAACTCGATCGACCAGAACACAGGCTGGACGATGAATGTACGCGTGGAGGTCAAGTCCGGCGTGACGTCACTCGGTACTTCGAGACAATTTTGGGGACCTTCTTTTCAAGTTTTCACCCACTTCCAGTCATCGCAGAGAAAAACGAATAACACCATCGTGATCAGGAGCCAAAATACTACAAAATACTACAAGATAAGACAAAGAATTTGTTTGGTGACAGTTCCCATTTAGGGCCTGGTCAGACTGCGGCAAATTTTGGTTGCCTGACGAAAAAAGAACAGCGTCCAGAATTTTAATCGCGATCACACTACACATGTGGGGAGAGTGAAAATCAAACTTTATTTCGAGCGTCAAGTGGTAATCTCCACGAACGACGTCAAATTCATTCACCTTGGGGATCGCCAACACCTTCAGTGCAATCCTTGCAACCATCCTTAGGAGTTTTGTTGTTGTCCGTGGCCAATTAGCTCCTCGATATCGAGATGAAAAAATCAGTGAATATCAGCGTCAATGGCGTATCAGCGTCATATCCTGTTTGGAGCGGAAAAGCGTGGTCCGTTCTTGCTTTTTTTTGGAGCGTCAACTCTCGCTTTTGCCGCTCTGGCGGCAAGTTACTATGGAGATTCGGATTATAATCCTAGGATTATTTCGATTTTGCCGCAGTCTGACCAGGACCGAAAGCGGATTTCACAGAAGCTTTTTGCGATTATTATTATTATTATTTGAAACTCGGATGTTGAGCCATAAATAAATGTGGAAGAGAAAAAGACATATGGATACGAGTTAAGAGTAACTCTCCATCACTGTAACATGATACTATATACAGTCAGAAAGTGCAATAACTAGGCACAAAACTGACAGAGTACTAAAACATTCGACGTCCTGACACCTAGCTTTAACACATCTCCGTAGCGCTAACCGACAGCCTTCCAACTTGGAAGGTTCAAGGTTATGGAAAAGACCAAAGAGGGGAAGGCATCGTCCAGTAACAATCGACATTCTTTGTTCCGTTGGGACTGTGGCTTTTGCTCGTTTTCGTTGCGCTTGCCTTCCCCTCTTTGGTCTTTTCCATAACCTTGAACCTTCCAAGTTGGAAGGCTGTCGGTTAGCGCTACGGAGATGTGTTAAAGCTAAGTGTCAGGACGTCGAATGTTTCAGTACTCTGTCAGTTTTGTGCCTAGTTATTGCACTTTCTGACTGTATATAGTATCATGTTACAGTGATGGAGAGTTACTCTTAACTCGTATCCATATGTCTTTTTCTCTTCCACATTATTATTATTATTATTATTATTATTCGACTACACCATAGCTCAGTGGTTAGAGCATCGCTGGCTACAAGCGAGGGTCCCTGGTTCGAGTCCTGGTGGTGACAGTCAATTTTTTCTTCAGACTTTTCCCGTTTGTCTCTTTCCCTCAAACCAGTCATTATTATTATTATTATTATTATTATTATTATTATTGAAAAACAATCCAGAAAGATACTAATGAAGAGAAATGGAGTGAGAAGAAACAACACCTATGAAAATTATAATCCCTTAATCTGTGTGTCCAGAAGGACAGCATTATTTGTTTGAAATTGTTTTCGTAGCAGCTTGTTCTGTCTGTTTGGCCTTGGTTGGCTATGGTGTCATATCTTGTGTCACAGTATACTAGTAGTCCTTACAAGTTCGTTAAGTGCTTTCGCAGTTTTTTCCTGTTACTACCTTAGTGCTAGGATTATCATTTTCATAGGTGTTGTTTCTTCTCACTCCATTTCTCTTCATTATTATTATTATTATTAAATTTTTGATAGGGCAATCCCCACAGGCGTTGCGACACGCGATGCGACAGGCACGAAACTGGGAAAACCCCAAATCGCAGCCATGTTGCACCCCACGCAACTGCCGCAACTGGGCCATCGCAGAAGTTGAGCTTGGCTAAACTTTTGTGATGCGATGCGATGCGACAAGCGATTTGGCGTACGATTTTGACCTTTTCTACAGCAAAGTTGTGCAAAGGTTCAAGAGTTGATTATAAATTTATACAAGTCGTGTCAAACCGCGCGAATATCATGGTGACGTACCCAAATCAGCAAGACTTTGTCGCATCGATGACTTCTTCTGCGAATGGTCATAAAACTTTTAAAAACACAACCACGAATCGAAGCCCAGTGTACAGAGAGTATGACCGTAAGCGTGGAACTCGGATGGGTTTACTGTCAAGGCGAAATTCCGGGATCACATCATTTTAGTTATGCAGCGCGTACAAGCAGGACTCAAGCGGGTCGCTTTCTGCACAGCTGCAGCTCAGCTGCACGCACTACGCCACTTCCCGAGGCAGATCTGATCAGACATGGTGCGGTCCGGGGATTTCTCCCTGGCAAACAACCATGCAGAATAGTCAGCAGGTGCACTCACTGGGCTCCATGTTCTGTAAAGTCCGGAGCAAACGCCCACCCCGTTTTTGCAAGATCTGCTGGCCTGTACGCGCTGAGACTTGAACTTTTGGCCTGGCCCTACCTACGGGTATGTTACGGGACGGACTTGGAAGTTCACTTGACACCGTAGCGAAAAGTGACTACTGCTACGGTAAACTATGGCACAAAGCTAGAGCCGAGTAGAGGCTAGAGTTCGGAAGCTCATAGATCGATAGAGATTGCACTGCTGGGCGTACGGCTCAACTGAAAGGGTCGCAATCCACTCGAGCGGTGTCAAAGCAAGTTACTTTCGATCTGTAAACGTTCACGGATAACTTTCTTGCTCCTCTTCAGTCACCATGAATAACCTTTGCATTGCCTTTGTCTGTGAAGTTTGCAGTTACAGCCGGTCGGAGCTGCACAGAGCCTCTATGTCCAGGGACAAGTTTGTAGAATTCCCTCAGCAGCCCGAAAACGAGAACGATTGTAATGCTCTTTCTGCTATGCAATCTGGAAGAGATTTTGCCTTCTTGCAATGTGAGATAGCATTTTCGCCGTGCAGGTGGTGCCATTCTACAGCACTGCATTTGAACTCCACGTCGAACTTGTGGCGTCTTGGCATGGCGAAAAAAACAATCACTTCCAAGAACGACTGCAAAAGGATTGAATGCAGTTGGTCCCTTCTTGGCGAGGTTAGTGCATTTTTGTCCGCGGGAATTTGATGTTGAGCTACAGCGAAAGTTCGTAGGCTTTTCATGTGTACTCGTACGAAATCGAACTTTCTGTACACCATTCTTGTCCTCAGGACGAAGTACCTGTGCCCTGCATTGCGAAAATAGCACAATCGAGCTGGGGAGGGCGTTTACAGCGAAGTGGGCGTTTGCTCCAGACTTTACGGTACTCTCGTCGCCGTGAGCAACAACATTGCCCCGACAACTCACACCGAGGTAGCCATTGTGGTCCCGTTTGTGGTCCCGTCTCCCTACAGCCTAACCTGCTGGCCAGAGAAATCCTGCCACAGCACTAAAATTGCACTCGATGTGGATGCAGAAAAAAACTGGTGGCAAATTGGTCCACCCAATTCCAAAGAAAGAGAGTTTCTCTCATGTCATATTTGGTTCTTGGATGTCGAAACATGCAGAAAGGCTGGACAAGTTGACTTAGCTGCATGTACTTTATATTTAACCTGGAAACTCTTTGGGCAAAACGACGAAAATTAATTCCCAACGAATATAGTGTTCGCTTATGCACTGATAACCGGAGCTATAATGTATAATAGGCCCCTTGCAGTACAAGCTGAATTCTGTAAACACATCCGGTGAACTCGAAAGCTGTGCTGCTTTGCTCAGGCTGTTGAATGTCACTGCCCAGAACTACATCTTCCCTTTCCTTTTTCATATTCATTATAATAAATTAGACGGATACTCCAAAAGCACAAAGCAGGTCTTGATATTGGTCTTTTACCTAGACCGTAAAGGTTCTGGGAACTACGGTCCTTTGATTTCTGGGGGAGTCCCCAAAAGAGGAGTATAGCATCATAAGGGACTCAAGTTAGCTCAAATTAGGTGAAATACGCCAAACGCTTGCACTTGGCGAACTGAAAGATCGTTCGAGAGAGACGAAAATGACACATTGAGTCACTGATTAAGATTCGCACCTATGACCTATCGTATAAGCCGGCCTTCAGGATACAACCAAAATTACCATGGCATCGCACCTGTTCTAGATCGGCCAGAACATGCTCTGCTTGGTCGGGCCTCGAGGCTGGAGCAGCCTCTGCTATTCCCTTCACCGCGTGTTTTCACACGGATAGGTTGAAGCCTGGCTGCATTCAGTCACACAACGAACTACAGTCGTGGTGGTCGGTGAAATCCGACCAAAAGTGCATATCTGGCGCCCTCAACTTGCACGACCCTTTACGCCCTGTAAGTGGTACGAATGCGGCAGGAACTTCACACATGTGCAAGTAAAGTGATGTTATCTGAAGTAGTCCAGTGCACTTTGGGTCGGATTTCAGTGAGCGCGACTGTTGTGACATATAATGCCTGTACCTATGGTGAAGTAAAAAAAAGGTAACATTACATAACATTTTATTGTACAACAATGTATATGTGGCCATGGCATTTAGGCTCTGCACTCCATATAGCCGTGCTGCTACCCGCAGTCAACTGGGAACTTGTGGCCAGGCACAAGGGGTACATGGATGCGGCTAATGGGGTCTTTCTCGGCACCTGTGCCAGTGGTTGTTAGACGTATCCACGCACCCCCACCGTTAGGCGCTGCCTCTGCCGCTAGGGTTTACCAGGTGTTAGCAGCCGTCTTGAGTTCCCTTCCGGAACGGACAGGATAATATACTTTACTTACTCCATATTTGGCGTTGCCACTGTTTTCTTTTCTTTTTTTAAATCGTTAACGGTTCTAAAAATTGTCATTGTGCGCAACTTCTCTAATGATTGTAAAAAAAGAGAGAGAGAAGAAAACACAGAACGAGTTATGCAGCAACTATCCACGACTGTAACAAGATGATAAACAGTCAGAAAGTGCGAAAGTGCTGCATAACTCGTTCCCATGTGTTTTCAAATAACCAACGAGGAGACAACAGTCGTAAAATAGCAATGAAAAATATCAATTGTGCACTAATAACCATGTATAAACAATTGAAATGAAACAATTCCAATTGTGCACTCATAACCATGTATACACAATTAAGGGGGCAGCCTACCCATAAATTTCATGTGGCATTCAATTGACCGTAACTTTGGTAGTTCTCAATGGATTTGAGTGAAATTTTGACCACACACTCCTGCCACTATGCTGGCCCTCAGGACATGATTTACAAGTTCTTGCGCCTTACTGACAGGCTTTCCAGGCCGGAAAAACTCAAATTTCCGGCATAGTGCCACGGTGTGCGAGCCACCCAGGAGCCAAACAAATGCATTTACAATTTTTGCACATTTTCGTGCCCATTCTGTCGTGCGCGGGACCCAAACCCAAAACAAGTCCAGAAGCAGCCATGGGTGATGGGGTAGGGCCCCTCAACGAGGCCCTGGAATCGGTCACAACGGAACAAGTGGGCGTTCTCTCACAGACTCACACAGACCCAAGTCAATTTTTGAATTTGTTTAGGTTAAGCACGTGCTACGAGGTCGTACCTTTGATACAACATCCAGTGCTGGGACCTCCACAGGAAGCCATCTCCACAGCGCTGCACACCAAATCCAGGATACCCTCAGAAACCGGCAAAGACTACCACTCACGCTTCACTACGGCCTAGTACTGAATCCTACCTGACTTCTTGACACGATTCAAAATTGCCAAAGTCACTAAATCCACGTCAACTACAATAATCAAGCCACATATCTGCAACGTCACGAGGGTGCTGGCAAAAGTCCTGCTGCGCGGCGGCGGGCTTCGCCCGCCGCCGTGCAGCCCAATACGTGGTTTTTTAACGTGATTTTTGGACTTTTTTGGACTTGGAGCAAAATTCTGCACACTTTCGCGTATTTCCATGATACGACAAGTTGCGCACGGTCTGCTCACATTCAAATACAGTGCTGCCGACAAATGAGAGCGTGCAACAAAAACATTTTCCTTGCAAGGGCACATTTTCGGCCATAATTCTTGAACGGCTGGTCAGATGGGGACACAAATTTCAGAGAATTTGCAGCCATTCATGCTCTTTCAACTGGCGTAGCACTCAATATGAATTTACAAATTCGATTTTTCAGCGAATTTTTGGGTAATCTGCCACCTTAAAATGAAACAATTCCAATTTTAATTGTTTATACATGGTTATGAGTGCACAATTGATATTTTTCATGTGTTTTCTTCTTTCTTTTTTTACATTGGCTCAGTATCCGAGTTAATAAAAATAAAATCTCTCATGGTGAGCCAATAATTATAGTTATGATTATGAAAGGAAAAGGACAAAATGTTATGAGTTATGACAAACTGTCCACCAACGTAACCAGATCTTATACAGTCAGCGAGTGCGACAGAATGGCACGAAACTGACAAGGAGTACTGAGACCTTCTCTGGTTACGTTGGTGGACAGTTTGTCACAGCTTGTAACATTTTGTCCTTTTCCTTTCTTCTTCAAAATCTCTGATAATTATTTTTCCAAAATACTATGCACGTGCTTAGAGTACTAGTAGTGGTAAGTAATCCTTTGAAATACAAGGGCAAAACTTACACATCCAGTTTGGAACCGGGTCTGTGGTCTTCACGTTATCTCCAGATAAGTACGGCAACTTCGTAAATGTGGTAGCGCCAGCCGAAGACGAGTACAAAGACACGAGACTTGCGACCAGCAGCAAAACAAATCGCAGCGGCCAAGCCATCCTGCAGTGCTCCGGCGCACGATGGCAGGGAGACCTCTGCTGTTCAAGTCAGCTTCACGGCAATGCTGGCTGAAGCACAGAAGACGAAAAGAGTCCGCCTCTTGAAATATCCTGTCCCAGCAATTTGCTGTGTATGTCCAAGAACAATACGAACCGTCGAATTTCTCTTGCCTTCACAGCATGCACACGCTTCCTTCGAAGAAGTTTGGAAATTGATTTTGGAAATTGATTTTCCCAAAAAGTCGCTTTAGGAATGCGAAGTTGCCATGTAAGGAATGGAAGAGCTCAGCTCTGCCAAAAATGATCTGGACACACCAGGATGGGAGAGAGCTGCAGAGGGATTGATAAAATTTAATGTCCAAGCCAGTCGTTGTCCAGCAGCGAAAAGGGTGATAAATACTCGAGATAGATTGACAAAAAATGATTGAAGTTAGATACTTCAACTACTAATTTCAGCAGCTTCAGACAACATTTAGGTTGATAAAAGTGCGCGATCCACGGGCACTGTTGGTGCTCCAAAACGTTGTTGCAGGACAAAGAAATATTCAGTCATACAGGGAGTGAAGGGAAGAAGAAGTGAAGAATTCCCTACAAAACCCCTAATCATTCATAGCGTTCTCATCTCCCATATAGGCCATCGCGATATCTGGGTGTAGTACAACTCTATGGTAGTACGGCTAGCTGTGTACTGTACTCTCTACGGCAAGCATGCTGGGCCTAGCAGAAAGCAGCTATAAACACACGTACGCTGTACCACCCTACTATACTACTGCGCAACTTTCAAGCTGTATTTTTGGGGAGAAATTAATTCTGTTTTGGAATTGTTCAGTCGTGTATACGTATATCGTTTTAGAGCTGCAAATCTGGTGTGCTACGTATAATAATAAAGATGTTCATCAATTCACCATCATCATTTCACCATCATCAATTCACCATCATCATTTCACTTCTATTTGCCAATATAATACAGTCATTATCTCATTTGCAGTCAGAATTATGCTGATGTTCGTAGTGCCAGGTATCCGGTAGCTTCCTGGCTTTCAACTGTCGCAAGAGCCCGAAGCAAGCTTTTTTCTGTGGCGTGCGTACATATACTTATTATAATAACCGTGTTGCATATTTGTCCTGCCCACGTGCAATGCAGCTTGCACGCGCAGGTTATTTGTAGGTGCTTACATATATGGGGCGGGTGAAATCGACACATCGCGCATATGCATCGCAGGGTCAAAACAAGCAGAAAAAATTTCACTTGACCACATGTCCCGTAGCCGTGTTGTGGCGTGTTTGACTGTTTGGTAGCTATATCGATCGTACGAGTACTGAGTAGAGCGTACTGGGTTTTTTCTGTTTTTTTTCTGGGAGTCGTAAAAATGGTATTTTTCAACTCCCAAAATAGGTAGCTAGCTAGCTAGCAGGGAGTCGTAAAATATTTTACGACTCCCTGGTAGCAAGAATCCATTTAATTTATGCACTCTTCTTCGTCTTGCTGGCATGGTTGGGCCTTTTCCTTTTTCTTATCTTTCAAATTTCGTTGTACCATTTTCGTCATGTGGAAAATCCGTCTTTCTTTTCTCTGTTTGTTCGCGCAGCGCAGGTGAGCATGACAGCGTATTTCCAGCGACAGAATCGGGGCTGGCTCGGACGCCCGCGCATCACCCTACCAGTGGTGATAGACAACGAATTAGCCAAGGCAACGTCCATGCGTCTCCAGAGTCTGAAGGACCTGGAGACACTGCGTTTGGTGGCTCGGAACAGGCAATTATTTAACGATATAATCGCACAGGTCACATTGTAGAGTGCAGATCACCTAGTGCTTTCAACAATAATAACGTACTTCCACATTATGGGAATTTGGTATAACCCCACACCCGTCATTGTTGAATATTCGATAGTAGCGTGGATTTCTCCAACAATATATTTTCATTTTTTGTTTTCCTCTCCCATGCCGTTGTACATTATAGCAATAAAAACTGCTTTATGGCAGTTTTCTAAAAAAGGTTATTGTGTTCTAGTCCATGGACCCCGTCTAAAAAGTAAGAAATTAACGAAATGTGATAGCTGAAAATTAAAATTTCACACAAAACCTCACAATAATCACAACACTTGAAATGCTGCTTTCAACACTAAACTTGTGCTCCACCAACAATTGGCAACATGCATGCATAGGAAAGAGGATCACGAGGAGAAAAGGTCTTCTACATGTAGCTTTTCATTCTGTGTGTGATTATTGTGAGGTTTTGTGTGAAATTTTAATTTTCAGCTATCACATTTCGTTAATTTCTTACTTTTTAGACGGGGTCCATGGACTAGAACACAATAACCTTTTTTAGAAAACTGCCATAAAGCAGTTTTTATTGCTATAATTTCTTTTGTTTTTTCTGTCACCAATCAATGAAATGCCCTATCAATATGTAAATGATGGCCGTCACATCATATCAATACCGTATTATACGCATTGATGTGCAAGCCTTTTCTTGCAGAAAATGGGACTAGCATGTTCTTCTGCGGGGATACATGTGAGTAGTGGTGGACCGTGGTGATACCTTTTTTATACGGAGGTCATTCTGTGCATGTTGCTGTAGCAGAATTTCATGACTCTGTCATAAAATTGTCTTGCCTTTCAGATATTTCAGATTTCCCCACCCTCGATCAGATTTATTTGAGAAATGTAACCAGGTGCGTGTCGCAGATGTTTTTGTTGATTCTGTGTTTATAATGGTTTATAATCATGGGTTATCGTGATAAGGTCATCCTGCACCATATTGCACTGAAATCGTAACCCTGTTGATGTCGATACAACTTTTGGAAGTAGTTCAATGACTTCGAACTGTTAGTCCACGATTTTCTAAAACAACACAGCAAAGGAGGAACAATAAACATGTATTAAAATGTAAACAAATACATTGCTGAGTCCGACACCTCGTTCCAACAACTACAATGATCCTGAGGATAAAAGGGGCAAGGCTATGGTTGGAGGTACTGAGAGATAAACAAGGCACTTCATAATAATAGAATCGTACACATTTTTGGTGAGTATGAATGATATCCAGTCGAACCTCTTTAGGACGAACACCAAGGGACCGATGGTATTTATTCTGTGAGTTTGTCTTAACCTATTTTATAACCAGTGAATACAATTATTTCTCCAATAGACATACGAATAGATTTCTTCTACAGCGAAAGATTCTAAGCCACACCAACTCATTGACTCGTCTCGTATGAAACAAATGAGTCACTAGAGAGGTTCTGCAAAACGAAAATGCGTACAAACAGTCGTTCCACGTCCTGAAGTGCGAAACTTCGCACGAACTTTCGCAACTTTGGACGCGAAACTTGCAGGGAACGCGAAATGAACAGTCGTACACACTTTCGTGAGATCGGGTCATGGCGTACGTGCACTTGGTCCGCGCAAACTACGAAAGCGTGCAGAACGCAAAGTTTGTGCAAAAATTCGTACACACTTTCGCAATGACTGTCGCGAAACTTCGTTCGAATTTTCGTTTTGCAGAACCTCTCTACTGAACGTTTCTTTAGCAACATGACGGCAACTGAAACAGCAACAGAGAAAGTACGATACATGTACAGCACATTCTTGCAGGTACTACAAACAGATTGCAGATCGTAATTCTTGCCTTGGCGGCACGAAACTTCGTTTGGGGCAGTGCAATCTCGGCGGAACTCACAAATAATAAATCAAACAGCCCAGACTCGAGTAAACAAATCTAATCATACAAGTTTACTGAACCTCTCCACAATGGGGTTTTCCCTGATATGCGAATTTATTTTTGCAAACTCGGTCAATGGGTCCTTGAACCTTTCCCTCCAGATTGGGACCTGCCAACGATAGTATGCCACTGACCAGTACAGTGCCTTACTTGTAACGTACCAATGTACAATGAATATGAGTATTTCGACAACACATCTAACATAAGCCTTACCGTCAAGAAGGTGAACTCGCGTTCTTCGCACACTGTAGACAAGGGCAAAGAGATAAAAATGGATCTAAATCCGAATAAAATCAGCACACATTTCCGTAAATGAAAGGGTGAGCATAAGCAAATGAATCGAAGGAAACCGGTCAACTCAGAGATCACCTGTCATCGAGTATTCCGTAAAAGGGGGCCTCGGCAGCGGAAAAGCTAAATTTAGAAAAGAGATCCTGCCAGCTTTTCCATTATTTATTGCATTCCGCCCAAAATGAGCACACTTTTCGCAAATGAAAGAGTCAACACAAGCAAAAGAATCAAAGGTAACTGGTCAACTCACCTGTCGATATTGAGTAATATTCCGCGAAAGGAGGTCTCAGCAGTGCCGAAGCGAAATAAGTCAGGCCAGGATCTAGGAGACGAAATATCCGAAACAGCTCATACAAGAAGCAGTTCCAAAGGAGGAAGTTCCTCGCGCATGCACATCCGAACACGGACTGCACTGCATGCAACACAATGTCTGCCGTGCACGTGCACAGCACGCGGCTACCAACCGTTGCGCGTTGGTAGATCCGAGCACCTTACGTAGAGACTTACGTAGCCTAAGTGAAATACCGAGCACCTTACGTAGAAACTTACGTAGCATAGCGGTGTCGTTTTTCTTGCCATGTGAACACAATAATAGAAAAGCTGACAGGATCGCTTTTCTAAATAAGCGGCTTGCCGCGGATATGTCAATTCTACTACTTAGTCCATCAGCCAAGAACTCAGAAGTCGTCAAATTCAAGCACCCTCTGCAGGGGAAGCCGACAAAGTGACCATTTTTGGCATTTCATCGACAGCCATTGTTGTGACCTAAACCCAATCTCCAATCAGTGCCATACGCGTTTCAGGAATGAACTTTCACATTTTTTTGAATTACGGGAAAAATCTTGCAAATCGAGAAGATTTGCAGTGTAAACCATTGCAGTTTCCGTATTACACGTGTGCCTGGATTCAAATTACAATAAAATTGTTGTTCGCCTACTTGTAGAGTGTTGTTCCATTACACATCTCTTTCACTGTTCTATTTATAAATCGAGCATTCGAATACATACCTTCAGGAAGATTACAATGAGCTAGTATTGAACAGCATCCA